GCAAGTGAACTCTGCAAGAAAAATCGATAAAAATCGACAAAACCGAAGTCGATCGATGACGAAAAATAGCCTACGACACCCGCCCGGTCTCGAAGTGTATGTGTGCCAAGTTTGGTCCGGATCGGTTCGGAAATGAAATATTTTATTCGGAACATACGTACCCACAGACATACATACAGACAAACGGATATTCAGCTTTATGTAAAAGATACATTTTCTTATGAAGCATATTTATTAGGTTGACCCGAAAGTTCTTTCCCCCCATTTTCAAAAATTCACAACTTGTCGGGTTCTCAACGAATTTACAAGATCTAAATTTTGTCTGAGGGCCGCATGCACTAACATACCCGCGGGGAAGGGATCGCAGCTCAAAAGAAAGCTTTATATTTCGAAACTCCAGATACCTGGATTCCAGGTTGTGTACCTATCCGTAAGTATTCCCACTACCCTTCACTATGAACATGTTGAAGAGGAGCGAGAAGCTGTGCAAACCGCATTTTCCAGCTTTTGTATGATCCCTGATGATCCCCGGCGCTTTTCTTTGAAGTCATTTTTCTTTCTCCGAAGTTAACGAAAAACCTCCAGAGTTGTGCAGATTATCTAAACCGACAGTGCTAAGCATGTTGCTGATAAGAACGAGTGATGTTTTGAAGTCATGAAATTTTCGATGATCCACAGGTCGAAATCCGAGGCTTACCGAAAAATTCGACTTTTCAAAAACTCATTTGTTCTCATCAGCAACATGCTTAGCACTGTTGTGTTAGAAGTTCAGTACAACTTTGGAAGGTTTTCGTTAACTTCGGAGAAAGAAAAATGACTTTGAAGAGAAGCGCCGGGGATCATCATGGATCATACAAAAGCTGGAAAATGCGGTTCGTACAGCTTCTCGCTCCTGTTCAACATGTTCGTAGTGAAGGGTAGTAGGAATACTAACGGATAGGTACACAACGTGGAATCCAGGTATCTGGAGTTTCGAAATATAAAGCTTTCTTCTAAGCTGAGATCCCCTCCCCGCGGCGATGTTAGTGCATGCGGCCTTGAGAGAGAAATTCATGCTTTTTGCAAAAGTACTTGAACTGTTCGTTAATGTGTACAAATGAAGGAGATAGAAGCTAAAAACCAAAATCAGTCAAAATTTGAATTTTTCGTGTAGGGTCATATAAAATCGGAAACTTGCAACAAAAATCGGAGCTGTCGATATTGTAAGTTCTTTCACCAGCTCTTTCTAACGGTGTAAAAGTTTGCGCCGATTGAGCGTCACTATGAAAAGTTACGATTTTCGAGCAAGCAATAGAAAAGAGCGATTTTGATTTATTTTGGCATTTTTCAGGGAAATCGTAACTTTTCGAAGAGACGCTCAATCGGCGCAAACTTTGCATCGTTAGAAAAAGCTGGCGAAAGAACCCAATACCGAAAGCTCCGAATTTTGTTGCAAGTTTCCGATTTTTTATGACCCTACACGAAAAATTCAAATTTTGACTGATTTTGGTTTTTAGCTTCTAACTCCTTCATTTGTAAACATTAACGACCATATCAGGTACTGTTGCAAAGAGCATGAGTTTCTCTCTCATACAAAGTTTAGACCTTGTAGATTCGTTGAAAATTCAACAAGTTATGAATTTCTGAATTTGGTGCGAAAGAACTTCCGGTACAACCTAATACTGAAAGCAGCTTTTTCTTGCGGTTGCTGGAAAGAAATGTGGCAGCTTTTTATTGGCCGACTACCTCTGACTTTGCCAAAAGCACAAATTGTTACCGTGATATTACTTTCAAAAATGCCTTGTTGAAAAAAAAGTGCTGTGCCAAAAACAGTGCCGACGCTTGGAGTTCAGATGCAGGCATAGTGTGCAAAATGCTATACTGTGACATATTTGTACTACCTAAACTCACGAATTGTATAAGATTTGAAATACGATAACCGTCAAGACCCATAAGCACTATTTCCGTAAAAATTTCCTGTAATAATTTCTATTCATGCTCAAAACGTGCTTTCATTTCTGCTACGCAGAGTTGTCTAATTACTATACACCACCTCAAACAACATCGTCAAAAAGCTGTAGAAAAGTTTGGTGCTGTTTTGCCACTTAATATCATTTTCGAGGTGTCGATCAACTAATCAACGTGGCATGAAGTATTAATATAGCAAGAAGTGTCTACAGCATGTTAGGAAAATAACTTCCACTTTTCGCAAATAGGAGAGTAGCAGGACAACGCAATGCTGCAACTTCGCTTCTATTTACAAATATCTTACGCATGTAGCTTTTGATTCAAAAGGATTGGCGGCTGGGAGGCGGGGCTTTGAGGTCTGTTCAAAGTAAGGAATGATCAGAGAGCACGCAGAGAAGCAGACTGCATCACAGATGCGAGCGGTCGCCTTCCAGCCACCAATCCCGTTGAATCAAAGGATATTGTTAAACGCAGTCAGACCAAATTATTGTGCACATGTGCACCCACTGTGTGATCGTTCTTTTTTGATGTTTTTTTTTATGAGATTTTTCATAAACGCTGATGAAGAAGCGTACACATGTTTCCGTTAACACTTACAAGAGTGGCGGGCGAGCTCAGCAAGTCCCCACTTCAATCATTATTCTGCTTCCCAAATATTAGGTCGGTCCACTCGTGCCTTTCAAACCCATTTTCGAAACACTTACAGTGATGATAGACAAACGCTGTAAACAGTGTCCGATGCAAAATTCCCTCCTCCTTTCGCAGTGGTGTTTTTGTTGCGTGTGATTGTTTACTTAAGCGCCAAAACCATAATTTTTAATGAACAAAAACTTTAGCGGTTTTTTAACATTGGCATAGAGTAAACAAAATGCAATGCTATGAATTATCTGAGCTTCTTCATCTGACTCTCCAGCATTTTTCAAATCAATTTTCCCAAAAGTCTTTGATCTTGCGGAATTGTAGAATACACAAATTGCTTGGAAATTTTTTTGAATTTTAAGCTTTTAAAGATCGTATTTAATTGAACACCAACTTTGCCAGGCATGTAAACGTCTATTGTTTTTAATGAGAAATTTTGATTTTCCTGGGTACAGCCTACGGCGCGTTCAAAAACAATTATTATGATAGCTTTCTGGCGATTAATGGGAACAGAAACATGTGGAAAGAGAAGATAAAGCCGCACTGAATGGCATTTTAACTACCCACCTTTTGATGTTCCGTAATTTCTGGGATGCCCAGATATGGAAATAGACAACGAAAATTTATTTGAAAACTTTACAAAGTCAGTCTTAGATGTCAGAAACTTTTGATCGAAGACTAACTAAAGATTAACTTTCTTTGCTGCTCTATTTAAGTGTTGTCAGAGCACTTCCAAAAGCCTTAAAAAAACATTTTGAAAAAATGCAAGAATTAGGGTAGGTAAAAACCATGGGTGAAGATTTTGATGATTATTGGAGATTACCAAAGAACTCGAGAAACATCGCTGCTAAGAGGAGTAACAAAAAGTCTGTATCGAAACTGTCCGAGGCATATTTCTATAATTAGTTCAGATGGTTATAGAACAGCCGTATTAGACACAAACTTTCGGATCGACCCAATACAATATTAGGTTGAACACTAAGTTTTGCAACTTGTTTCATAACTTCACTCTCATTCAACATGGCGCACTCAAACTTTGGCATCATGTAGAATGCAATGTGAGCTACAGGTGTGCACAAATTGTCTAAATTTTGGATACGAAATAGAAAAGTTTCAGGCATTTTTCGAAAACTAGTGAATTTTAAGAATTTTTGAGGTTTCAAGCTAAAATGAAGCCTTTAGCAGCCTAGACAACATGCGCAGTAATCCGGATTCGTCTACAAATATTGCTGGAGGTTGACTCCTTTGGCCTATTAAGAAAGAAACAAATGTTAGGGGCATGTCGAGATTTGGCGTCCTCATAAAGTCGAACGAGTCGATGTACGCAAGAGCTGGTGGGGACGACCGTCAATGACTAAAGAGTCCGAAGCTCAAATTCCTCCGAGACTTCACATAGTAAGGTTATTTAACCTGCCGAACGCGAATATCATATTCATTCGTTGAACCAACGCCATTTTCCTTGTTTAGGGTGAGACCCCATATCGTACACCTACAGTAATCTTACAAAAAAGCCCTTATCACGGAATTTCGCTATAGTTTTCGTGATCAGCATGTCGGATAACACTCCTATGCCAAGTTTCAGCCAAATCCGTCAAACTTTGAATTTTTCCCTTTCATACCATACACCTACCGTAACCCCCACTGCGACGTCAGAATTTGGTAGGACAGCAGCTGCGCTTGTAGCTTACGTAATGACCAACACAGTGGCAAAATTTGAGTGCACCATGTTGAATGAGAGTGAAGTTATGAAACAAGTTGCCTTAGTGTTGAACCTAATAGTATCGAAATGGCGATGTTCTGAAAATTTGCAATTTCGCCGAAAATGTGTAGTACTATTCGTATGCGTAGAATTCAGCCTTTTGAAGTAAAAGTGAACTCAGGTAAATTGCTAAATTATGCGATAAAAGCAGATTCAGTCTTTGTTTGTAGACCAAACAGAAACTATATTAAAATTTCAAAACTACGCCTCGCCTTCTCTTGGTAAGAAATGTTTTTACGAATAAAAAAACTTTAATAAACTTTTTCCACAAAAACGCTTAGCAGGTGATTAGGTGATGGTAAGATTCAAGATCAACCTTTCAACCAAAAAAACCGCTTAGCTTGAGAATTTATGCTTAAATAAAGAACTCAATAACTTTCCAAATCGACACCTCAATGAATTAGCAGAAACCGAGCACAGCCGCGCGAACGGTTCAAGAATCTCCAATCTTGATGAGGCTACGGTTTTGAAATGTCTATATCTATGTCACTTAGTAAAAGGCTTCTAAAACTATTCAGCAATTTGCTATGTCTCTATCCGCTTGCACGATTGGCGTAGGTTTTGACAAATATTTCAAACAGCAGGAATCGATCATAAGTCAATCTAACAATACCTAATAATACTGCTTCTCATCAATCTCCGCTCCATATTGCAGTATGTTCGCGTGGAAAACGTATATGGCCTGCACTTTACGGATATGGAAGATATTTTCAACAGAATTTCTCTCCATTACGACTTTGCTACGTTACATAACATCACAGCTGCCAAAGATCATCGAACAAGAACCGAGACAGTCTCGTTGAATGTACTGAATGCCTACTACATGTTTACTGTTAACAGCTTAGGTAAGTTGACTCTGAAAAATAAGAATAGTTTTGAAAGTTCGTTTGCGATGCTCACAATCGCATAAAACCAGGATAAAAATTCCATTACGATAAACACTTCAACACAAGCAGTTGAGAGTATTAGAATTTATTGACTATTGACAAAAAAGTTTCAGAAGTTTATTGGCTTTCTTCCAACCTTTATATTGCGAGCAGCTTGCGTACTTCTTGGTGCAGAGTTTTTGCAAAACGTACTTGTTGAAAAGCAGTTGTTTGAAAAATTTTGATACCCAATGACCAACAAATCATAGTTACAGCTGTGTAGTGCTTGTAAATGACAATGTGACAACCACCCTTGTCCAATTCTTCACCGAAAAGGTGTTAAACTTTTCAAGATAGGTGCACTTTTCAAGATGCTCTATTCATTGCTACCCCCATAGTTTTATCACTCAAAACCCGTGTTCACTTTACCTTACCCGCGGAAAGGAAGGGATTTGAGAGGGGATGCATCACATCTCGCTACTATACCTAATGTACCCTCTCTTTTCTATCTATGTTGTAAAGATTCACACACCCTAATACATGAGTGTAATGGATGACAGAACACTGTTATACAAACTAGAATTTTCACTGTTTTCTGCGATCCCTTTGGGATCTCCAGGGATCACCGTTCATTTTCAAAGCCGTTTATCTTTTCAATAACTCCTTAAAAACGTTTAAAAAGTGTAAGGACGATATAGTGTAACACTACGTACTAAACAATTTAATAGTATGTGTGAGATCCCAGGATATGAGATAGCTCAAACCTTCTATTTTCCCTCCTTGTGGCCGTATTCATCATTGCTACCTGGGGTCAAATGTACCTTGGATTAGTTTATACCCCAAGGTACAGTCTACCTTAAAGGCAGTGTCCGGGCAAAAACTCGAGATTTTGTGCTTACTTGGGCCTATTCGCTACTCTGAATCCGAAAATGCACATTGTAGAGGGCGAAAATGGCGAAAAACGGCTCTAACACAGGAGGGAAATGAGCAGGTGGGCGGGGCTCTCCCCACTGCGAATTCACGTTCCCGGCTTCCGGAGCGACCTTCTCGCTTCCGGTTTAAAGTCAATCATTCGCACTTGACCGGTAGCGATGTTACGACGGCTAGCGATCGAGAAAATCGCTCTGGGAGCCGGAAGCATGAAATCGCACTGGGGAAAGCCCCGCCCACCTGCTGATTTCCCTCCTGTGTTAGGGCCCTTTTTCGCCGTTTTCGCGCTTTCCTATGTGAATCTTCGGATTCAGCATGGCGAATAGGCCCGTATAAGCACAAAATCTCAAAATCGAGTTTTTGCCCGGAAACTGCCTTTAAAGGCAGTGGATCGGCAAAATTAAACAATTTAGGATTTTAACGCCGTAGGTTCCCTATCGCCCAAGTATGAAAACAGTGCAATTCCGGTTGCACAGCATGCTTTCCCTGCTGAGAAAATCGCTCTCAAACTTACACGCGCAGGCCAATCTTACACGCATCTGGACGAGTTGGCAATTTCCTTCTCACCATCAAAGGCTTCCCGCCGCAACGTTGTAACTGTTGGGTCCTGCAACGATTTAGCGTCACCGGCCTTGCTTCCACTCGTCCAGTTCCAAAAAGAAGGGCACTAAAAACGCTTATTTTCGCCATTCTCAAGCTTTCAAAAGTGGATTTTCGGAATCAGCGTATTAAATAACCCCAGGTAAGCGCAAATTTGACTAGGTTGAGATTTGAGCCACTGTCTTTGAGGCTGTTTCGCATTCATCAAAGTACCTCAAGGTTGATTCTAGCTCAGTTTGAAAGATGTACAGTGACGCTCATTTAGGGCATGCCATAACTCTCAGCGGTATGTGAACTCTCTTATTGTTAATCTCTCTTTTCTATTTTCGTTTTGTAGGTATATTGGGTCGTTCCGAAAGTTCTTTCCGTTTTTTCAACCTATCATAAAAACACGTGGAATGAGGGTAGGGAAACGCTTCAAGTGCTATCCGATGCATTTTTTCTTCCTCTTTTCAACAGTCATATTTCTGTGCCGCTTGCTCTTGTGGCCAGTGAGATAATGACCAAATTTCGAACCCATGGTTTTTACCATGTCCAACTTTGGCATTTTTTCACGACTTTCTTTTTTGACTTTTGTAAAAGCTTCAATAGCACTCGGATAGAGTAAACAAAGTGCAATTTAATGGAATTTTTTGGCATTTTCAACTGGCTTCTCAGTACTTTTTGAGACACCTTTTCCAGAAGTCTTCACTTTTTCGAAGTTACAAAACACACAAACGCTCCGAACATTAGAATCTTCGGTTTTGACACTAACAAAAGTCGTTTATGATTGTCCACTATTTTTGCAAAATAAATGAGTGTTTACCGCTTTGAAATATAAGATTTCGCAATTTACGTGACCACCCTCAGGCGGGTTCAAAATCAAGAGTTATGGAAATTTTATCGCTAACATCCTCTACAAATTGGAAAGAAAAATACTCAATAGAAAGAGGAGGAGAAGCTGCATCGAATGACACCTTAGTTGTGCGTCGTTTTATGTTCTATGGTTTTTGGCATTACCAAAAGTGGAATTTAATAGCATCAGAAAAATAAATCTAAAAAAATTTTAGGGCTAGCAATAGACTCCAAAAAATGCCATTGAATTGCACTTTGTTTACTCTATCCGAATGCTATTGAAGGTTCTCCAAAAGTCAAAAAAGAAAATTGTGAAAAACTGACAAAGTTGGACATGGTAAAAACCATGGGTTCGAAATTTCGGCCATTATCTCACTGACCACGAGAGCAAACGACACATGTTTATGACTGTTGAGAAGAGGAATAAAAAGTGCATCGGATAGCACTTGAAGCGTTTCCCTACCCTCATTCCACGTGTTTTTATGATAGGTTGAAAAAACGGAAAGAACTTTCGGAACGACCTGATATTAACTTTAGAACCGTTCGTACGCAATGCTCGCTTTGCGTAGGTTGCGCCGCCGAAGGAGCGCATGAGAAAGACAACGAGAACCACTAGGTAATCACAGCCTGACATTCTCGAAAAACATATCAATCTCGTTTTTGTAATTTATCCCAGGTCAGTCCTGTGTGGGAATTTTCCAAATCGCAGATCGTAAATACTACAGTCTGCATTCTGGATTAGGCCGAAATTGACATGATGCCCGTCCGCACAGCCATTGTGTAACGTCAGGTCTGCGGTTTTCTGCAGTGATGTGTCGCGCTTTGCCCGTTTTCTTCTCATTTTCCGCGATCTCTCCGGCGCTCGCATGCAACGCGCATGCAGCACAAACCACGACTGTTGCGAACACGCGATTGTGCAAACGTTTGATTGATCTATTGAGACGAACTATACCCAGAGTCATCTTCCACATGTCAAGACATAGAGGACTATGTTGTCAAGAAGGAGCGGTCCTTGCTGTCATTTGCAACAAACACGCACCTTTGCATATGCGCGGAGTTGCGTTTCTGTAAGAAATCCGCGCAAAACCCTTCCACATCGAGCGAATGTAGCCCTCCACCGTTATGCGACTGAAATGTTCTGCGTAATTCGGTGCTTTTTTGTTCATGAGCTAAAAAAGTTTTTGCCCTACAAATTTGTTGCTTAAATTCGGCTGCTTTTTGTTTCCTGCTGTTTGTGTGCCTGCTTTAAGTGGACCTTAGAATTTTCGTTGCATGTTCATACCTACTGATATGTTAATGATGATGTTGGTATTCGTTTAGATGCGCAACGAGTATGTGGCCAACTTATCGGATTCACGTTTTCGTGGGCTGAAATATGCTTTCTCTGAGTTGTGGATTTCTGCTCGCTTAGTGCATTCTAGTGTTGGATCAAAGAACGCGGATAGGTGGCATTACGGCTGCCCCAAAGTTTTTCATTACAAAATCGCCGCTCGTTCTAGCTGCTTCGGCTGCAATTGTGAGATTGGAATGAACCCTACTGCAATATAAGTTACCTTGAGAAGCTACCTCAAGGTAGAATTTACTCCAAGGTATAATTTCGTATTCATCAAAATTTGTCTCTCAAGCATAAAATTACCTCTGCCTGCATGATGAACACTGACGTTTTCTCAGAGAATGGCATGGCGTACTTGGGGTGAATTGCTTTTTTTCATACCTGCATCATATTTACGCGATTATGCCTATGTTCTTAGAGTGTGAAACGTTACAGTTGGATGGGAAAGGGTAGGAGTATGTGGCTTATAGGCTCTTTTGTTTGTGAGCCGATAAGCTGAAATCTGCTCCTCCATAAACAAGATACGGCGCAAAAGTTAGGCTATTTTTGCGACAATTCGCTGTGCTTTTTAATCGATTTATTGATTTGTTTCTAAGTTTACTATGTAAGAAAATAAACTTATCAGTCATTCCTAGATCATAGTTGGGTAAGCGGCGCGGTAAAGATTATTTACGTTTTGCGGCGAGGAGGACCCGGGCTTCGAGTCAGCGAGATATGTCGCAGAAGCGATATGGAGTGGGATGGTGAGTCTTGACGCTTTTGGATTCTCATGCTCTTCTAGTGGCAGAGCCCGCTTCCCGGGCAGGACCAGGGACGCCATCTAGCACTTCATAGAAATGATTTTGCAGACATTTACAACTAGTGTTCTGTCTAATTTATTGATGAGCTTAGAGTTGTTTCATACTGCATTCGCTGCAGCCAACAGACTGCGGCAGAGCAGCCAATCTACTGCTGCATGAAACAATCCTTAAACTATAACAGTTTTTTAAGCTTTTTTGAATGTAAGGAGGACGCGTGTCCTTTAGTGGAATATTTTTGCTTAACATTCTTCTCAAATCACGAAAATATGATTTTATCAAGACAATTCAAAATTTTGAAATTTTTGGATAAAACGCTTTGTGAAAATTCGATGTTTGCATTACAAACTTATACATTAGAAACAACATTTAATTATGTGAGTCAAAGTTAAATGGATAAAGGAAGTAAATAAAGAGCGAAAGGTTGAAGGTTTCTGTTTCTGGTTTCTGCAAGGCT